CAATATTATATATCATATTATACAATATTACTACTACTACTTATAATATTATATGTAATATTGTATAATGTTATACAATAATATCATATTATACAATCTTACATATAATATTATAAGTAGTGGTAGTAATATTGTATAATATTATGCAATATTATATATAATATTATACAATATTACATATAATATTATAAGTAGTAGTAGTAATATTGTATAATATGATATATAATATTGCATAATATTATACAATATTACTACCACTACTTATAATATTATATGTAAGATTGTATAATATGATATTATTGTATAACATTATACAATATTACATATAATATTATAAGTAGTAGTAGTAATATTGTATAATATGATATATAATATTGCATAATATTATACAATATTACTACCACTACTTATAATATTATATGTAAGATTGTATAATATGATATTATTGTATAACATTATACAATATTACATATAATATTATAAGTAGTAGTAGTAATATTGTATAATATGATATATAATATTGCATAATATTATACAATATTACTACCACTACTTATAATATTATATGTAAGATTGTATAATATGATATTATTGTATAACATTATACAATATTACATATAATATTATAAGTAGTAGTAGTAATATTGTATAATATGATATATAATATTGCATAATATTATACAATATTACTACCACTACTTATAATATTATATGTAAGATTGTATAATATGATATTATTGTATAACATTATACAATATTACATATAATATTATAAGTAGTAGTAGTAATATTGTATAATATGATATATAATATTGCATAATATTATACAATATTACTACCACTACTTATAATATTATATGTAAGATTGTATAATATGATATTATTGTATAACATTATACAATATTACATATAATATTATAAGTAGTAGTAGTAATATTGTATAATATGATATATAATATTGCATAATATTATACAATATTACTACCACTACTTATAATATTATATGTAAGATTGTATAATATGATATTATTGTATAACATTATACAATATTACATATAATATTATAAGTAGTAGTAGTAATATTGTATAATATGATATATAATATTGTATAATATTAAACAATATTACATACAATATTACATCATGCATTATATTCCATAACACATTAGTATAATATTACATATTCTATTTACGCAGAGCTTATGCGAATATTATACAACACTATGCAATATCATACACATATAATATTATATAATGTATCATATTCGACAATATTGCTACAATATTACGTATCATTACGTTCAAGCAGAGCTTGTACGAGAAACAATTACGCGTATCCTAGAGGAATTCCGAGGAAGCAACTGGCGACGCTACGAACGAGATAAGTCACTGTATCTTAATCGAACGGTAGTGTACGAAGCTTGAAAGGAAACAATTGGAGAACACACGATGACACCCCGGATCGACCTTGAGTACCGGAAGTTGTGCACGATCGTTCACAGCTTACGTGTTCCTTGTATCGGGTATTTTGTCATCCGGCACAAAGCGTTCGTGGAAGGGTGTTACGTGGCGCAAACGATAACTCCTTCGATCAGGTGTTTGTTGACGTTAGATAGGACGGTGTACAGCAGAACAAGGTTGTTTTATCAACAACAACGTGTTTACGGAGAGCTCTCGGCAAGAAAACCCGGGTGGTCTCTGTTCGCGGCACAACGAACTCGACTCTTCCCGGCGAGACTCTCGCCGCACCTGAGCTCGAATCGTCTTTAAAATGTGGCTGAAATTTCACGACAAATTTCAGCCACATACATTGAAATTTCGATAGTAAAATTCCGACGAAACTCGTCGCTCGAAAGTTAAAAATTGAATCCATCCGAGATCTATTTCGTTTTTTGTCGACTGTAGCCGAGAGAGTCTCGTTATCCGAGTTAAACAAAAAAAGAAAAAAAGGAAAAAAAATATGAGACAGATTCCCGAAGGAGTAATGGAGACTTTTTGAGACCGTTTCGCCTAATCGATGCTGGCTAGAGAAGCCCTAGGCGTGTTATATTCTATGAAATAGAATCCGATCCACCGCTTTTTTCGTTTTACACGCGCGCCTTGGCAGTTCCCCGTAATTAATCCATTTTGCACCGCGATAAAACAGATTACTACTATCCAGTAACACAATTACCGCTAAGAGTTGTGTCCAATGATTACATTCTTTCTTTGTTTTTTTTTCGTTTTGTCCCTTTTTGTTCTATATATTCACATGATTCATCTAAATTGTACCTTAAAATACAAGCATCGAAACGCGTTACAATATACGTATATTAAATCCGGATCCTAAACTCATCGATTACGAATCTATGCGATTGCGCTTTTTCACCAACGTTCTTTCTCTCTCTCCATTCTCTCTTTCTCTTTTTTTTCTCTGTATTATATTACACCTAACGTTTCTCTCCGTTTGTATCTAATATCTATGCACTTCGAAAAATAAGCCGCAAGATATATTTCACATTGTAGCTGCAGCCTACTGCAGATAAGCGTTCGTAATCTCCACGATAAAGTCCGGGAAAAAGAGGAACGACGCTCGGCGCGGTTCTCGCAACAGTGACTCATCCGGCGATCCACCCTGCGCCACGATACAAATATCCTCGCCCGGCGACTTTTGTGTAAATTGTATTTGATTCGACGTGTATTCTCTCTTTTTTTTTCTTTTGTCATCTATTCACAGCACTTTTATTTTATTTTATCTCTCTCTCACATGATTTTCCCCCTCGTTATTCAGTTAAACCTCTACAGGGGCCGCGTTCGCCCGGGGTCCACCGTTCTATAGAGATTCATATCACAAAAGTAGGTATATATGTATGTATAATATATATGTGTACATATATATTATATATATATACACGTATATGTATATATGTATATATATGTATATATATATGTAAGTGCATTATAATATGTAGTTAGAGAGATCATCGCGGTCTCGAGGATGGCGGGAACGGCGGATCCCGAGGGCACCCCGGCCGAGTTCGAACATCAAAATTGCCTCTAAAATATAGTAGCGTGTACTACACTTCGAAAAATTGACAGTGACGGGCCAAACAGCGGTGCGAGATTATCGTACATAGGCGTAGGCTGCGGGGTCTCCGCGGATCTATCATACAACCGCTCGCTATACAGAATCGAACGCAACAATCTCGTGACAATTTACAATTTGTTCTACGATGAGAAACGAGCGAGCAAGAAGAGTCTGTACAATTAAAATGAATCGTTCCTACACCGTGCGAAATTCGTTTGGAGAAATTTGGAACAACGCTGCAGCCCCGCAGCCTATGTTAAGTGTTCGTTTCTTTCTCAAACGTAAGTAAATGCTGTGACATGTTTTGCCGGAACGGTGTGATTGTATGTGCATGATTGTAGACAGTGTATTGTGTGCGCGTGTGTGTGTCCCTGTCTGTATACTTGTGTGTGTGCGCGCGCGTGTCTGTTTGCTTAAGTGTACATTGTTCGAGATTACGTAAAAATTAACGCTAGAATCGTGGTAACGATTCGTGGAACGGTTTTCGTATCCGAAAGCGCGACATCGGTGGAACAGAGTATAAATCATCGGCTCATGCAAAAAAGAAAGAACGGTGTTTAAACGTCTATATATAGATATAGATATATCGATTACATTTAACCCCTTTGTTTTGTTCTGTAAAACCACTTGTACAAGTTCCATTACTATTCTCATTCTCGTAGTTCTTCATCTTTGTTTGTTTCTTCTTTCGTTTAAAAGAAATTGAGCTGAAGTAACAATATTCAATAATTTCACTTTTTTTCTCTTAGGCTATAAAGACTTCGTAGATCCACAGCGATAGATTCTCTCTATTCATATTATCCCGGTTCCTTTGTATCGTTCCCATCAATTTACGTTAGAGGTGCATTATAGAATCTCTTTTCCTGAGTTAATATAGTTTCTTTCTTTCCTTATTTTTTTTTTCATTAGCTTTCTTCGTAAACGCATCTTTGTTTTTATTCGTCGCCGTTGAACTCTTCATTTGTAATATCGAAAATTGATACGACAGGCTTTCAGGTACAAAACAAGTAGACTCCTGGCCAGTGGCGGATTATCGCGGATCTCGTCACGATATTAATCACTATGTTACATTATTTCGTCGACGCAAAACACAAATCGAAATTAATTCGCCGGTTCTGAATTTCAGAAGCGATTTGTCCGTTATAATCCGCCACCGAGTCCGCCGGCTCGCCGGATTGTCAGCGAGCTATTGACAACGGCCGCGAGGCCAGAACATAGTCCCGGAGTGACGTTTAACCCATTTGCATCATCGCTCTACTTAAGCTTTCGCATCGAAACATCAGCGACGTTCAACTGACGAGTGAATCTTATCACCACGCGCGGTCGATCGTATGTGCAGTAACGCGCATCGAAATTATTCATCGACTTTATTAAGAATGTACTTTTTAAACGATGATATACAGTGTTATATCGCAGTTTACATTTTTTTATACAAAAGGAAAAGCAAATATTTTTTATAATAAAATAAATTTATTTAAGTTAAATGAGCATATTAATAAATTAACGTTCGTGAAATTCATTAAAGTGGTCAATACATAATGATTAAACGTGATCTGTCCCAACTAAAAGATATTTTCCGACTAAATACAAAAAAAACAACGTAAGCTAGCGGAATATTCCGCGCTTGGTGATAGTCGACCGTCGCGCCTCGTGGAATATTCCGCGCAACGATGTAAATGGGTTAATCCAAATTGACCCTTGATTTCGCCGAGTAATTAATTAGTATTCGTTAACAAAAACCGTCGCGAGTCTCCCTTTCGTTTCCCCTCTTCTTTTCCCATCTGCTCGTTCGTTGCTTGGAAGCATAGAATTCATTTCGGTAATAGGACACGAGGCGGCACCGCCGTGCCACCCCGAAGCATCGTCTCCGTTTCCGGTTACACGCTATAGTTCTCGGAAAAGCTCTTAAAATAGTGGTGTGTCGCTGATGATTTTGTTCTTTTTTTTCTTCGTTCGAGAAGAAACAAAAGAAAACAAACAACAAAACATTCGAGATCAGGCGTCGCTCGTTTCAAAAGCGCAGTGTCTCCGGTCTTATCCCGCTCTCCTCTCGACGAGAGAGAAGAGGGAGGAGCGAGATACAGAGCCGAGAACAAAATGAAAAAGTCACGAAGAGAACAGTGGAACAGTTATATACGCCGTTGCAATCGATGGTACGAGAACAGAAAAAAGAAAAACGTATTCCGCAAACGAGTCAACTACGATCCTTTGTCGTCCGTGTTTTACATCACTATGTTAAATTGACTACTTCATTTCTGAGAAAGCCTAACCACTAGTTATAAAATAAATCGCAGCTCTCGATCTGCAATCAATGATATTCATTATATAGATCGTTAACTCTATCACTTAGTCGATTACTTTTTTTTTTCTTTTAAATGTACGTTTGTCTAGTCTTGTATTTCTTAAGGCAGGAATTTTTATATTTACAACGTTTGTCCTTGTTGGCCTTTGCTTTTCCCTATTTTCTTTTCTCCTATCCTACTTCCTCCTCCTCCACCACCTCCTCTTCCTCCTTCTCCTCCTCTTCTGCTTCTTCTTTCTTCCTTTACTTTTCTTTTTTTGTTCCTCCGTCTTGTTTCGCAAAACCGTTCAAGGCTGGTTCCGTCGAAACTCGTTTCGGGCACCACACGAATTTCTCGCGTTTCAGGTTCTAACGCCGGTTAGAACGGTGTGTCCGAAACGAGCCACCTTTGTTCACCTATTATGTTCCTATTTATTGACATATACAGGATGATCCTCAACGCCCGTTTGCCATTTCATTTCCCGTTTCATTGTCGAACGACGACGACGACGACGACGACGACGACGATTCTTTTCGCGTTGACTCAACGACGAAGACCGGCCAGAAGAGACACGCGAAGTCGGTTTTTCACGTTTTCGGGTGACCTTGAATAGTTTGCGGCCAAGATGAATACGCGTCTGCTGACCTACCTTGAGTCGATCTTCACCTTAAAAATATTATGATCATAGATTGCGCCGCGCGACACTGGATCCTTATCTCGAGTGGTATTTGTATCGCATCTTACATCGTTTGTGTACACGCTACACGCTTCTTCTAGATAAGTATAACTGTAGTAGTGATATAGTAAACACCTACTGTTTAATTAGGATATTAAACGTGTAACGAGCAATTACACGGAAAAGTCTAGCTTTCGATTATTCGCCGCTACGGAAAAAACAGGTATCGATACACGCTCCCTATACGTTACGAACGCTATTTTTTTAACGCGAAGCACAGTTCAAGGTCAACGAAAAGATCCTACGGCTAAACAAAACGGGAGTCGATCTATGGAACACCGGTTCTCTTTTCGCGAGAAGAGAGAAAAGAAGGAACGCGGCTCGACTTCGTCGTTGAATCACCTTCTTCGACAGAGAGTGTCCTTGAGAAACATTCCGTCGGCATTGTTCAAGAGACAAAACCGGCAACAGAGCGACCGGATCACCCCGTAGTAATCGCATCGCCGTAAAAATGTACACCCTAGTGATATTAGATTCCTAAAAATAGCCAAACCATAAATGGAGATCCATGGCAAATCATTTCGTACCGGTTAAACGATACATCCCGCGCAAAAATGTAATCATTGTAAAAATATCCTCGGGCCCTGCGGCCCGTTGTGTGCAAGAATATACGAATGTATGATTCCACTTATAGTTCCAACGGAATTTAAACACGGTCGCTCTTCGTTAAATCTCATTAAAAAAGTATATTAGCACCATAAATACATGGATCCACGGCTCTCCTCTGTCCCGACCAACCGATATATCCCATTCGGCGCGCTGATCCAGGGAGCATGGCCGAGCCCCCCCCCCCCCTTTCAACCCCCCTCGTTATAGGATTGCACAAATCGTTAGCGATCTAGCTGCGACGACAAAATGATCTGCCATCGACCCCGTGTATCACCCACTTTGATATAGAATCAATTGTACAGCCTCTAACGCGCGGCGAACATTAAACGTTCCTGGTGTGGTTCTCCATTGGTTTACCAGTCAGAGGTTTCACCTCAACATCTGGCTCTTCGAGAGCGAGAGGGGCTTGCCTCGTGTCCGGTACTTCAACGTCCATCGCGCTCTTCGACCGGTTCGCAGATTCCGTCGAGTCCTGGGTCTGGTTCGACGAACCGGTCTCTTCGAGGTTCGTCGACTTCGTGGGCTCCGTGGGCGAAGACACCGAAGACGGCGTGGCCGTCTCCGAATTCGGAATTGTGCCGTCCTCCACCATGTGGTGGTGCGGTTTCTCTTCGAACACTGAAACACAAGGCGATAAAATCAAAATCTACATTTAGCAAGACTAGTAGCACAGATAAACAAACCACCATCTTCTCCATGTATATTTATTTATTTATTTATTGCTACTGACTCTATTCCTTGAGAAATAAGTTCGCGAAGATCCGTCGAACGAGGCCCACTTACATTTGTCAAGACTGATAATTGACCCTACGAATTCATTCACAGTGAAAGATGGCGCTTGATCCTCCAGCTGTCTTCTCCTTCTGACCAGCCACCAGTCGATGAGGAACAGCGCCAAAGCTAAAATCTTAATGCCGGCACAGAGGCCGACATATCTGAAACGATAACGTATCTCAATCAATCCGTTAACAATAAAGAATCGAAGAGTAAAGAAACAATTAGAGGACACGGTACTGCGAAGAGCTGCAAAGTGAGCGATAAAGGAGACTTTCACAGCTCCGCGTAGCACCGATTTCCAGCCGAGATTACGCACCTGTATCTAAATTGTTCGATGTCGTAGAGCAGACATCGGCCGCCTTTCTCCCCGCAGGTGCTTTTCCAAAGCAAGCACGTGGAGTCGATTAAGTTACCGAATAAAATAGGAGCTGGTATATAACCGAACAGTCGAAAGATTACAAACTGCATGCCCAACGCGAACGATCTCTCCTCTTCGGAGACCGACCTGCAAATGCGACATCATAAATGCTACATTACAATTCTATCACGAGGAATATAAACAAAAATTATCGATGGAACGTACCTTAACACTATCATCAGTAATGGCATCTGCGTGATAGCGACGATGAAGGTCATAAAGAAAAGTAATATTAAGAAAGGAAATATAGTCCTGCACGGTGAAGTACATGGGCCAGCAGTTGCTACCGGCACCACTGTCACTTCCGCAAATTCCGGAGCTGCTGGCGGCAACATTGTTAGGTTTCCGTGTATACCTGTCGAAACACCAGGTGAAATTAGGACTTATATATATATATATATCTGCTAAATAATAATATCTCCTACAAAAATGGATGCCACGAAATTGTCTATCCATCAGCGATATTATAATATAATAATACTATAATATAATATAATATAATATAATACTATAATATAATATAATATAATATTATAATATAATATAATATATAATATAATATAATATAATATAATATATAATATAATATAATATAATATAATACTATAATATAATATACTAAATAATATTTTATTTCCGAAGTGGACGACACTGAGAACGAGCTGAGGCGATACGAGGGATGCTTACATGCACAGTTAGTGAAATTCGATTTCGAGCTGAAGGCAGTGCAACCCGCATGACAAGGACTGAAGTAGGTCAGACCGTTGTTTCCACAGACAGGCTCGACGTCCGTCATTCGACACTCGCAACCGAAGTTGCATGCGGCAGTGAGGTTTACTTGGAAGGGCTCGGGGCCCTTCGTGCTGCTGTTAAAGTACGGAATAGTGGTCCCAGCCATTTTCACGTTGTCACAGCCGAGGAAAAACAGGAGGCCGTAGCAGACCAGGCATATGATGTTTGAGACGAGGACGAACTGGACCGCGCCCTTCGGTCTTAATTCTAAACGTTTGAGCAAACATCCGCCGAAGAAGATGCCGATGCAGGCGCCAGGTATCGCTATCGAGCCGGTGAACACGCTCGCCTGGCTCTTACCCAGGCTGAATTGCGTCTCGAGGTACTTCGGCAGGAATACCACGAAACCGGAAACGATCACCAGCTCCATGCAGGCGCCCAGACAGGTCACCACGTACACCGGATTGCACATCAGCCTCCACATGCTCCTTGGTATATCTGTAAAGACATGATTCAACGGTTTAGCTCATCCGAATCGTGTTCTATCAAGTTTATTTAATTTCAGCTGGACCCTATTAAAAGTTCATTTTACTTCGGCCGAATCTAATTATTCGTTTATTTATTTACTGAATATATGCGGAAAGTTTCCCTTTACAGTAAATTCTCCCTAATTTTCCTTCAACTTTCAGTCAAAAGTGGACGATTTGGGACGAGGAGATACGATTATTCGAGTCTCGCGGTCGTCAACAATTATAAAATTGGTATTATAGGTATATACAAGTAAATATTATAAAATATATAAAAAATGCTAGGCTTGAATAATCGTACTCCCCCAAATTGTCCATTTTCGTCTAAAAGCCGAAGGAAGATTAGGGAGAATTTACTGTAGTTATAAAATTTAGAAGAAAAAAAATACAGAGGTCAGATATAATAAGATAATCGCAATTCCTTAAAATCATATGAGAAATCTGTACGGACCATAATAATCTAGACATAACCTTCACATAACCCAGCTCTATCAAATTCATTTTACTGAATGTTAGTTATGCGTTTATTTATTAATTGAATATGTACGGAAAGTTTCCCTTTACAGTAAATTTTCCCTAATTTTCCTTCAACTTTCAATCAAAAGTGGACAATTTGGGACGAGGAGATACGATTATTCGAGTCCCGCGGTCGTCAACAATTATAAAATAGATATTATAGGTATATATAAGTAAATATTATAAAATATATAAAAAATGCTAGGCTTGAATAATCATACTCCCCCAAATTGTCCATTTTCGTCTAAAAGCTGAAGGAAGATAAGGGAGAATTTACTGTGGTTATAAAATTTAGAAAAAAAAAGATACAGAGGTCAGATATAATAAGATAATCGCAATTCCTTAAATTCATATGAGAAATCTGAACGGACCATAATAATCTAGTTCTACCGAGTCACATTCTTCAAATATCTATGCAAATTTCTGCGGTGAAAAAAATGCAGTTTCGAAGGTCGTCTCTATACCTTTCACGTCCTTTCCGTAACCGCTGTCGTCCAGCTTCTCCTTCTTCGGTTCTTTGCACTGCTCTTTTTCTTTCTGCGACGACGATTTATTCTTCTCGATAATGCGTATCTTCTCTTTCTCGCGTTGCAACGTTTTCGGGAAACTGAAGAACGGGATCGCGACCAAGATTAAGAGCAGACCGCAAAGCAGAAATCCACCCCACCACATGCCGACCCATCTGTGGTCGCCTGGATCTGTTCACAGATACTCGGCGTTATTCTTTAGCGTCCGGTCTTTAGCGTAACGAACTATGTTGCACGGTACGAAAAAGAAAATGCAACGATGTCTTGTATTTCCGAAGGTTCCCACGTATTTATAAATTCAGAGAGAAAAAAACCATTATAGACGTTGACCTTTCGCGCGAGCTGTTTTCATTCTTTAGCCTTTGGAAGTTTGATCGCTCGTTTCTAAACGATTTTCTATAAAAACGCGAAAAGAACAATCATCGATCCGTTTACCTATGCTGATAATAGTCCCGGAAAAGGAATCCATGTGAAATGATAGTAAGTAAGCTCCGAGAAGGAAACCCAATACCGGTCCGAATGCTGCCATGCTGTACATACAACCTGAAAGAACAATCAATCATATTGCAATTATATCGTAATTGTATACAGGTTGTCCCAAAAATGTCTCGCAATCCGAAAATGGCGGGTTCCTCGGATCATTCGAAGCAACTTCTTCCTTTACAAAAATGTTCTCCGAGGCACCGTTAACGAGTTATTAACGAAAAACAGTGACCAATACGAATCGAGTACGGCTGACGCGAGGCGGCCCAGCCAACCAGCGCGCGAAGCCCAGGTCCGCTCATTGGCTCGGTCGCCTCGCGCCAGCCGAGCTCGCCTCTCATTGGTCACTGTTTTTCGTTGATAACTCGTTAACGGTGTCTCGGAGAAAATTTTTGTGAAGGAGAAAGTTGCTTCGAATGACCCGAGGAACCCGCCCCTTTCGGATTGCGAGACATTTTTGGGACACTCTGTATATATAAATTATATTAGAATTATTCGAAATAGAATTTTGCTGTTACCGATATATAAAGAAGCACTCTCCGGACGAACATGATCGTCTATGTAAGTGGTACCAAGAGTAAACAGAGGGGAACCACCGCAGCCTAATAATAACTGAGCAAGTACAAATAACATAACAGGGCCAGCAGTGGATGGGGATCCTTGAATGCAATTATCGCCTCTTAAATTGTTGTGTGGTGCCAGCGGAGGAGATGATAATCCGGACGACAAGCGACCTAAGACGGAAATCAACTTATATCAGCTTTGTCCGACGTGCTCGGACGATAAAAAGCATTCACACGTTGCTCGGATCAAGTGACATTAAAAGCGACGCGCTGTCGTTTCAGACGTCTACTTCTATTCGGATGATCAGAAAATTATATGCAACCGTCTGTGAATAGACGTTCAATTCCATTTCATTTCGAAATCAACTTATTTCATTCGATTCAATCGAAAACGAAGGATACAGTCTTAGAATCAAATTTCTGAATCCGAGGACGCCTATTTGAAACAGCGACAATATACAGGGTGTCCCAAAATTATTTTACAAGCGAGAAATGAGCGGTTCCTCGGGTCATTTAGAAACAGTGACCAATCGGAGATCGAGTTTGGCCGACGCTCCGCCCATGCGCAGTGCCGCGACCAATGTCGCGCCGCGCCGGCCGTGTGACGCAGTGGCAGTGCTCGCGAGGGCGGGGCGTCAGCCGTACGCGATCTCTGATTGGTCAGCGTTTTTCGTTAATAACTCGTAAACGAAGCGATGGATTGCATTTTCGCTAAGGAAAGAATTACTTCAAATGATCTCGGGAACCTCTCATTTCTATTATTGTACAATAATTTTGGGACAATAAATTTGGATCTTGTTTCTCTCCAGACAAATGGTGCGTTGTAATTGTAAAATTTACCAAGTCCCATGTCCTGTTCACGCAAGGATACGCCCCGGCAAATGTTGTCAGAGCTGGAGTTGTTCGCAGCCGTCATCAAATTAGGCTCGGCCGTGAAGTGCGGCACCATAAAGATCATCGATCCGAGTCCCATTATTACGGCGCCTGAAATTTTCATTCCATTACGGCACTGCAACGGTCGGCAACGGATAATATTATGCTATTAATCCCTTAATGCTCGGGAGGCCTCGTGTTCCATTCGATCTTGCCAGATCTATAAATATGTATCAATGCCTGATCCAAATTATACCGCAACGGAAGAACGCGGCGATCCGCGACACCTTTCAATGCGTTCCATTAAAAAAGAAAAAGAAACTGTATGTATATTTGAAGTCTGTTGAAATAAATCAATATTTCTTCCGAATTATTTTCTGAGGAAATCGAAAAAATATTCGCACGAAACTATCGGAATATTTCGCTATCTAAGAATTTACGATTTATGTTACGGTAGAACCTCGATTAACCGAACTGGATTTTCCTCCTCGTTCTCTATTATTCAGATCTGTGATTGTTCCAAATAATAACGGCTATACAGGCTGTACCATAATTATGCGAAAATGCAATCCGCGGCTTAACGCTGAGAATACTGACCAATTAGAGGCAAGATTAGTTGGCGCAAGGCGGTCGAGCCAACGAGCGGTCGAAGCTGATTGGCTCGGCCGCCTAGCGCGAGGCGACGCTCGCCTCTCATTGGTCAGTGTCCTTCGTTAATAACTCGTGAACGAAGCCACGGATCGCATTTTCGCCAAGGAAAAAGTTGCTCGAAACGACCTCAGGAATCTCTCCTTCCCGGCTGTTAATAATTATGGAACATCCTGTATATAAAATGTGTTTGAGTCATACAAAATGGAAATACTGTAAGAAAAATTGTTTGGAATTCAGAGTTAAAATGGCGTCGAGTGCAAAGGATTAAAATACTTCGAGATCAAGACGATCCCGTCGCTTGTAAACAGACTGCGAATTTTCGTGCAAAATAAAATGTTTCCAAGACGATTCTATGAAACAGAATTTGAATAAAAATAAATTGTTTCGCTTAATAATTTTCTTAAATTGAAAACCGTCTAACGATGTAACAAATGTTACTCGATTCTTCTTCCCTCGATCGAACCTCGACCTATCGTCTCATCTTATCACATCAACAATTTATCGGAAACTATAAAAAGAAATTAATCATCAATCTTCAGTTCAGATAATCGAGGCTCCACGGTATCTCTTTCACGTTCGTTCGCATTCATAATTTTCCTGCGGCACTGGGAACTAGTTTAATGGGATTAAGAGCGTCCGTGCGCGTCGATCAGTTCTCCTCTTACCAATCGCAATCCAAACTGGTATGTGTCGGCGGCTGCCGAGGTAGCTGACGAAGATGACGGTAATGACGTTCCCGATCTCGTAAGAGCTCGCGATGACGCCGGACAGACTGGACGGGATTTCGAACCTTTTCTCTATGGTTGTGATCACAGAATTTATGTAACCTGAACTAAGTGCCTGTTGCAACGTGACGAGAAACGATAGGAGGAACACAAACACCTGAAATCATCGAAAAACGCACCTTTGATCCCCTTGTCTTACCTGAGCCAGATATGTACAGTAAAATTAAATCTCTAATTGATGCTCAGCTTCGAAACAAAAATAGATCATTTGGAAAGAGGAGGTACGATTATTCCAGCCTTGCAGCTCGTTTTTATGGTCGTTGACAATTCGTACCATAGATTGGAGAACATGCAAGGGTTACTATAAACTGCTGTAACTTTGCGAGAAAAAATCGCAGCCGAGTTTCTTTTTTTTTAAATTAAAGGGGAAAGATCGAACTTCGTTCTGCCGTGAACGGCATCTCGGAGAAAAATTGTCCAAAGTCCGTGCGATTCGTCGAACTCGACGATATGACGTATGACGTACGACGAACATGGCCTTGCATTTAAAGGGTTACAGTGGCGAGGTTGCGTGGAATTTAAAATACAGATACACTGTCCGAAAGTAGAGGTTTCGAGCTTTAGTTTAAAGAAAGAGCCATCGTCCCGAGGTGATTTTTCGCGGAGTTATCGTCGCTCGAAGTTGTCCTCTGTTAGAACTCGATATCTCGCTTCCGAGTACAGTAATGTCTCCCTAATTGACGCTCAGATTGCGCACAAAAGTAGACAATTTTGTAAGTGGAGATACGATTGTTCGAGCCTTGCGACTCATTTTTATAGTTACCGATTGTCAACAATTATAAAAGCTAGATGCAGTACTCGGACAATCGTATCTCCCCTTCCCAAATTGTCCATTTTTGGGCACAATCTCAGCGTCAGTAAGGGAGACATTACTGTATATGGCCGACACAATTTTTTCTCGCCAAATTTGGAAGTCGATTATTGACGGAGTAATTTGCGGACGAGTATACTAATTTAATTCAATAAAATACTCGGATTTTAGGAAACTTTCAAGCATTTTGGCGCGGCCGTCGAAGCTATTCAAGTGCCGCCCGCACGGTTTCTGGCGACAATAGGCATCGCGGCTGCAACAAAATCGGCGAGCACAGAGAACATAACAGAAGGATACAGTAATGTCTCTATAAATGACGCTCAGATTGTCCACAAAAATGGACAATTTCGGAAACGGAGATATACGATTATTCGAGCCTTGCAGCTCGTTTTTATGGTCGTTGACAATTCGTGCCATAGATTGGAGAACATGCAAGGGTTACTATAAACTGCTGTAAGTTTGCGAGAAAAAATCGCAGCCGAGTTTCTTTTTTTTTAAATTAAAGGGGAAAGATCGAACTTCGTTCTGCCGCGAACGGCATCTCGGACAAAAATTGTCCAAAGTCCGTGCGATTCATCGAACTCGACGATACGACGTATGACGTACGACGAACATGGCCTTGCATTTAAAGGGTTACAGTGGCGAGGTTACGTGGAACTTAAAATCCAGATACACTGTCCGAAAGTAGAGGTTTCGAGCTTTAGTTTAAAGAAAGAGTCATCGCCCCGAGGTGATTTTTCGCGGAGTTATCGTCGCTCGAAGTTGTCCTCTGTTAGAACTCGATATCTCGCTTCCGAGTACAGTAATGTCTCCCTAATTGACGCTCGGATTGCGCACAAAAGTAGACAATTTTGGAGGAGGAGATACAATTGTTCGAGCCTCGTGGCTCGTCTTTTATGGTTATCGATTGTCAACAACTGTAAAAACGAGCTGCAGCGCTCGGACAATCGTATCTCCTCTTCCCAAATTGTCCATTTTTGTGCACGATCCGAGCGTCAGTTAGGGAGACATTACTGCATTCTGCAGGTGCGCTGCGATACTGTCACGGGTATTATCGTCTTCCGCGATGGCTAAAATCCTTTCACGGAATGTCGACGGCTGCTTCAACGTCGTATCCTTTCGAACGATGACTCACGAAGGTTCATACAATAGTTAGATCCGCGTGCGCCGCGTTGCAGCGGAGCCGGCGGGGCTGCGGCGATCGATCGCGGCTTAAATAAATCCCCGAGTCCCGATCTGCCGGGATTTGGAAGAAGAAGTCGCCGAGATATAGGGGGAGAGAGGGGGAGAGAAGTTCGCGTTACCTTTATTCCGGCGAATCTCTGTATAAAGGCCGGTCTGCAGCTCAGGATCCCGCAGTCCTTCGAGTCCGGATTAAACGGCGGTGTCTGCGGCCTCTCCTTCTCCGTCCTGGATTCAACCGTGTCAATGAAAACACACAAGATCGTAACGTTCCCCGGTGCTGCACACGGGTTTATCGAGAATCGTCCCGGTCTCTTCGGATTCGCGGTTCAACGCGGACGCCGAAACGTTCGCAAAATTCGTCCGCTCGACGCTGGAACGCTCGCCGCCGTCGGAATTACTCGCGTTCGATTCTTTGAAATCCCTCGATCGATTCTTCGATCTTCTATTTCACGGTCTCTGGGATTATAAACGATTTTTTTTTGGACGGGGTCGCGTTACCTAGTTCGATGGAATTTTGGCATCGTTGCGACGCGCGTCGGTCGCGTTCACAGGCGGTTCCAGCGTTCAGCATCGAGTTTTTTCGTTAGTTCGCGACTACTAAATTGCCGGACAGTATCGTTTATCTACGGAAGAGCTACGCTGATGAGAAATGTAGAACTTGTGCGAGAGAGAGAGAGAGAGAGAGAGAGAGAGAGAGAGAGAGAGAGAGAGAGCGTTTCGTGTTTTGCTTATGTTATTACACGGGTGTCGTCGCGTTAATTACACAAATCGAACAATTTACCTGTCCACCATGGAAGCACTGGGATTCCTGCTGTGACATTTGATGATAAAATCTCTGAAAAACGGCAAAAACGAGAAACAAGAAGCATGAATATCTCGTGCCATACGATGGTACGGTGGAGTGCGTGATGAGTTTTAGTAAACGAGATACAGGTGAAAGAAGCTCGACGGTCCCCGACGCGTCGGGCCCCGCGTAACTCCGGCGAAGAATACATTTTTTAATCTCGCCGGACGAAGAATAAATTTTCTTCATTCTTTACGTGCCGATATTTGTCGTTCCGATGCTTATTTGCACACGCAAATGTACATATAAATATATTATTTATTTTAGATGTACTATTTATTTATTATTTATATTATCTAACATCTGAAAAAAGAGTCGAGTAATTTGGTTCAATTTTGGAGAAATTGTTAACCCTGTATTTGCTGAATAAACCATCCATCCATTAAGCATTGATAAATAATAAATAATAATATATATATGAATATAATATTTATTTTAAATATACTATTTATTTATTATTTATATTATCTAACATCTGAAAAAAGATTCAAGTAATTTGGTTCAATTTTGGAAAAATTATTAACCCTGTATTTGCTGAATAAACCATCCGAATTAAAGCATTGATAAATAATAAATAATAATATATATAAATATATTATATATTTCAAATATACTATTTATTTATTATTTATATTATCTAACATCTCAAAAATGATTCGAGTAATTTGGTTCAATTTTGGAGAAATTGTTAACCCTGTATTTGCTGAATAAACCATCCGGATTAAAGCATTGATATAAGTTATAAAAAAATAGTATATATAAATATATTATATATTTTAAAAATACTTTTTATTTATTATTTATACTACATGAATAGATAATAAATATTAAATACAATAAATATAAAATAGTAAATATAAAATAATAAATATTAAATATAATAAATATAAAATAATAAATATAAATATTGAATAATAGATATAGATATTATATATATATAAATAATAAATAAATAAGACGATGAAACTTGAGCGCTAAGGAAAAACTTGAAACTGCACCCTCCAGCAAAAGACGTTCAATTTGTAGGACACCGCCGCGGCGGGGTCCGGGGCTAGGTATTGTAGAACACAGGCGTCCGCGCGTCTAATAATAAAGTTTACGCGCGGTGCTGTGTGAAATCATCGTACTTCTTTCACCTCGCGAGTACAAGAGATCCAGCGATCGAAGCTTCGCTTCGATCGGAAGGAGTGTCCGAAGTAGAAAAGCCGATGACGAGCTCGCGAGCCGCAATTACGGAACGAACTATTTCACCGGTGCGGCACGAAAAATAAATGTGTCACGGTCAGAGAACGCACGCCGCGCGGTGCGTGCTTTCACTCTCTCCACGTTTCGCAGCTGTTGTAATTCCCGTGGTGTTGGCCCGCGAAACATTTCTCCTGCGAATCCCAGAACGAGCGCCCGTGCCGGCGCGGGGCGCCCCGGGGTCGGTTCTCGCGCCGCCCCGTTCGATTTCGCAACACCCTTGGCGAACCGATCGCGTCCGCGGACAGAATGTATAGTTTTTCGTACGGCCACGAGACGCGAATCGGCTTTCTCTTCTTCATTTTTATGTACTACGCCCGGGGAGAGCTTAGAAGGAGCTGCGTGTGTGTGTGTGCTGGCCAAACGATGACGCAAGAGTGACGTGGGTGGTGTGGCCGCGGTTTTGTTAGTCGCGTAATGTGCGCTGCGTGTTTCCGACGACTTTTGCCCAGAAATTGGTAAAGCATTCGTGAGCGTGGGCGCGTCGCGGTTTTTTCTATTTTTTTTTACCACCGAGGGGTGCCGGCGTTTTTCTATTTTTCTTTTTTCACGATGACGTTCATCGTCCGTGGAAATTCGAAGCTTCAAGCCGAATACACAGCAGTTTTTATACGCAAGGGTTGATTCACGAGTGGACAGCTTCGATGTTCAGCTAGCTCTTCGTGGAACAGGATTTTTCAGAGATCAGGGTGTCCCAAAATTATTCCTGAGGTTATTTCAAGTAACTTTTTCCTTTGCGAAAACGCGATCCGCGGCTTCGTTTACGAGTTATCAACGAAAAACGCGGTCCAATCGGAGAGCGAGTGCATCCGGCGCTCCGCCCCCGCGGCCAATGCCGCGTCGCATCGACCGTATGACGCAGCGACAGCGATCGCGAGGGCGGGGCGTCAGCCGTGCGCGATCTCTCATTGGACAGTGTCTTTCGTTCATAACTCGTAAACGATGCCACGGATTGCATTTTCGCTAAGGAAAAAGTTGCTTCGAATCACCTCAGGAACCCCTCGTTTCTTGAAGGCATCATAATTTTGGGATACCTTGCGCATACGAGATATGCCTGAATAATGAAGTTGAAAGGAAAAGGCATTTAAAGTATTATCATCCCGATAATAATTTGCTTTTCGAAGATAATGAAATATTATGTTCACTAAATTTTGTACAAATGTACATTGAATTCATCATTGTCCACATTTTGTAGATATTATGGACGGTAGCCTAGTTTTTGATAGACATACCACTATTTTATATTGTATATATTTAATATTATATACATTATAATATATATTCATTATTATATATTATTATTAATATATATTTAATATTATATACATTATAATATATATTCATTATTATATATTATTATTAATATATATTTAATATTATATATAATATAATATATATTCATTATTATATATTATTATTAATATATATTTAATATTATATACATTATAATATATATTCATTATTATATATTATTATTAATATATATTTAATATTATATACATTATAATATATATTCATTATTATATATTATTATTAATATATATTTAATATTATATACATTATAATATATATTCATTATTATATATTATTATTAATATATATTTAATATTATATACATTATAATATATATTCATTATTATATATTATTATTAATATATATTTAATATTATATACATTATAATATATATTCATTATTATATATTATTATTAATATATATTTAATATTATATATAATATATTATATGCATATATTTAATATATATATATCAGTGTCCGGACTCCGATTTAAGGTTCAAGGTTTCCCGGAAACCGATCTCTTTTTTTTCTCGCTGGCTGAACATCGTTGCTCGACTGGTCCCAGCTTGTCTCATCTTGTATCCGGGATACCTCATAGACAGCAGGCACACTCACCTATGGTCCACGAGGCCAGAACTGGGATTCCTACTGTGACACCTGATGACGGTGTCGTGAGTCAGTCTGCTGCCGGTTGCCTGCAACGGGTCTGTGGCTTCGTCGGCGACCGTTCCCGCGGTCTCCGCGTACAGCCCCGTCATGGCGTACATGCTCTCGTTCCTTCGATGCCCGGCATGGTAATTGCTGCCAGACTCGGACCTGGAAGCGAACGATAGAACGGCGAAGGTCAGCGGGCAATTTGGAACCGATCCATTAGCTCCGCGCGGCTCGCCCCATCCACGGACCACCTCGACCCACCCCTCTCGCCCCTACGCGACCGCCCTCGCAGGACCACCCCCCTCATTAGCCGGGAGCAATATGTATAAGTACATCCGATAATCGAATATACGGGCAGGATTAAAAGTATGCCGGGCGACCGGGCTCGGAATTAACAGCCGGATAATCCGCGTCGATGAACCGGCGACTCGGCTCCTCGACGTCGCCCGCCGAAAACTTTCGAGCTTTATCAAGGATTTACGCGGTCGTCCGTGTTTTCTGGCGAATAAGCGAAGCGTTGTCTTCTAATCGGTCGTAGCAATGAATTCTTGCCGATTTGTTCGATGAACGATATACATGATATACGATTGGAAAAATGATATCCTTCTATTTGAATGAATTTGAAATAATTTGCAGACTGTGTACGGGGTAATGTCTCTCTAATTGACGCTTAGACTGCGCAGAAAAATGGACTATTTGGGAAGAGGAGATACGATTATTCGTGCCTTGTGGCTCTATTTTTATAGTCGCCAATTGTCGACTTTTTATTATTTAAACAAGGCGCGAGGCTCGAATAATCGTGTCCTGTTCGCAAATTGTCCACTTTTGGGCGCAATCTGAGCGTCAATTAGAGAGACATTACTGTACAGTGAATTCTCCCTAATTTTCCATCAGCTTGTAAGCAAAAGAGGACGATTTGAGAGGAGGAGATGCGATTATTCGAGCCTCGCGGCTTATTTGTATAGTCGTCAATTGTCGGCGATTATTAAAACGAGATGCGAGGCTCGAATAATCGTGTCTCCTGTTCGCAAATTGTCCACTTTTGGGCGCAATCTGAGCGTCAATTAGAGAGACATTACTGTACAGTCAATTCTCCCTAATTTTCCATCAGCAAAAGAGGACAATTTAGGAGGAATATATAATAACTATAAATAATAATATAAAAATAACTATAAAAACGAGCCGCAAGGCTCGAATAATCGAATCTTCTCTTCCTAAATTGTCCATTTTTGGGCACAATTAGGAAGCGTCAATTATTTATCCAAGTACTTAGATATTACAGTAATGTCTCCCTAATTGTCGCCGAAATTGTGCACTAAAATAGACAATTTGGGAAGAAGAGACGCTATTATTCGAGCCTTGCGACTCGTTTTTTATAATTACCGATTGTCAATAACTATAAAAACGAGCCGCAAGACTCGAATAATCGTATCTCCTCGGCCCAAATTGTTCATTCTTCGTGCGCTAATTAGGAAGCGTCAATTAGGGAGACATTACTGTACTTGGATATTACTTGCTGGCAAAACAGAAAAATTTTAACGAATATCGTTAACCTCTTAACGCTTTATCCGCGATGTTAACCTCTTGACGTACCATTTATTTCGCAATTACTGCGATCAGAAATTGTTCGATCGCAACAATCCCTTAGAAGGGAAAGAAAATTGATGTTGTTGTGTGCGCTTAAATTTATTTAAATGCTTAAACGTCGATGACAAGGGATTAGAATTTTATTCCAATTTTAAAGGATAGAATAACATTTATACTCTCGGATAAGTTATTATATAATATTATAAAATAATATAATACAACATAAAAATATTATATAATATTATAAAATAATATAATACAACATAAAAATATTATATAATTTTATAAAATAATATAATATAAAATAAAAATGTTATATATAGTCGTTCGGAAAGTTGTTTTGTTTCTCAAACAAATTTTCGTTTTGCAAGCTCGTTAAAGAAGCACGTGATTCAGCAAACGACGGGGCTTCTACGGGATAAGACTTTGAAAACACCAGAAAAATGTCGGAAGATTTTTTTTTTATTTGAAACGTTACCAAAAATCGTCTTTTATTTTCTCGTGAAAGAACGACACAACCTTCCGAACGACTATATATAATATTATATAACATTTCTATTTTATATTATATTATTTTATAATATTATATAATATTTTTATTTTGTATTATCTTATTTTATAATATTATATAATAACTTATCCGAGAGTATAAATGTTATTCTGTCCACGACGAGTGAGACTCGTCAAAATACGGCAAGGGGTTAACTACATGTTTGTGACTTTCCCGCGTCCCATTGCGCCGATCAGAGATCAAAGTAAAAAAGAAAAGGAACAAAATAATGGCATTCAATTAGGTATGAAGAGGCGGGCAAGAGCGTATCGCCGGTCGCTTCTGAGACAGAAGGAGGAGGAGTTGGGGGAGGGGGAGAAGCGGTGCCGAGAAAACGATGACTCTAATTTCATTCGAGGAATCAGCACTCTCTTTCTCGGCCCGGTGACCGAGCACAGGGAGACGTAATAAAATACGAATGCCATGGGACAGGAAGTTTGTTACGTCGTTGCGAACGCAATTTCTTGGTTGCCCGTCTCGTTAACGAAGAAGGGAGAAGACAAACAGAATCCTGGAAGCCCCTGAACGTCGGAACCTGTACTTACCTAAACATTACACGTAGAGAACCCCACCCTCCCTCCGCCGGCCCGACAGGCCGAAGGATCATATTACTTCGCGAGGTAACAAGAGCCTTCCTTCCCGTGTTATTTGAATTTTTCCGCCACCCCTGCGTGGAACCACCGCGTTCGCGGAACGCCACCCCCGCGCGCGGACGGCGTCTCGAAACACCGTGAAATTGCGCGCGCGCGCGCGTGCGTCCGTGTCGACGATCTTTCGCCGGCGTTCGAATATCAACAATTTCGCGGTCGCCGTTTCACGGTTATAATACGCGAACCGTTATCTTGTCCCGCGATTTATATCCGGTTCGGCTGAATCGATTGCTCGCGGCGCGAACGCCGGCTGCCGTTTCGTTCTCGTCGCGAGTCTAGACGGAATCAAATATAAATTAAACGAGTGAGATCGAGCGCTGGTTTTATTCGTAAATAAATTCTAAAAGATCTGGAAAATTTAAAGGATCCTTGAATGTATTTATATGATTTTATATAATGTTTTTGTTTGCGTTATATTATTTTGCAACGTTATATAATGTTATATATTTTTATTTTATATTATACTATTTTATAATGTTATGTAATATTTTTATTTTATATTACATTATTTTATAACATTATATAATATTTTTATTTTGTATTATTATTATTTCATAATATTATATAATATTTTTATTTTGTATTATATTATTTTATAATATTATATAATACTGAGTAATATTTTTATTTTATATTATATTATTTTATAACGTTATATAATATTATAAAATAATATAATACAAAATAAAAATATATATAATATTAAATATTATATAATAATTGTACTATATAATTATATAATATTATATAGTATTATAAAATAATATAATATAATTAATATTATATAATATTATATAATCATATAATTATATAGTACAATTATCCGTGAAAATAAAAAGGCCTGAAAGATTTACGAATGAAATTTAATGTGAGATTTAAACGATTTTAACATTTACCGGCGACTATGAAAACGACGCGCGGGGTATAATGATCGCACCCCCTCTTCCCAAGTCGTCCATTTTCCTTCAGAAGCCGGGGACCAATTTCGGATAATTCGCTGTAGGCCGGACTCGTCTAAACGTCCGGCGGAATTCGAACGTTCTCGCGTGTCGCGTCGCGGACGCAGAAACAGCGAAAGAAAGGATCGCGAAGGGGCGCGGAGGGGGTTAAGCGGGGACATCCTGTGGGGAAGCTGTGTTCCGAGGCGTTGTTCGCGGACAAAGAGGGCCGCGGGTCCTCTTTGAGTCAAAGAGGGCGGAAAAGTAAGGGCGGCGGGCGGCGGGCGGCGGGGCCGTGTAAGAAATTCCGTTCGCGGGGGCGGCTCGTAGAGGCCGAGAAAATCACCTTTTGTGCCCGAAACCGCCGCCGCTCTCGTTCCTCTTGTGGCCACTTTCGGATCGTTTGTGGCCAAAGGCACTGGATATGCTCTCGGCCCGTTTGTGACCGCTCTCCGAGCGTTTGTGGCCGATGAAACCGCCGCCGGACTCGGTGCGCTTGTGGGCGAACATGCTCGAACTCGAGCCGTTCCTCTTGTGCCCGCTGGTGGACGCCATTTTCTTCGTCCGGCCCGGCCCGACTCGGTTTGCGCGCGACTTCCGCTGCTTCCCTCCTACGAAGCTCGCTGAATTACGGCTTTACCGGCGACATTTTTGCCTCCGTGCTTCCGTTCCCTGCGAACAGAAACAAGAAACCCCGTGTTAATCGTCTTCGTCTGCGTTTCGTTTCGTAGAATGACTAGGGGATCCGATTCACCCGGTGATCCGCGACCCCTTTCGCGGCCATGTTTCACTGGAACCCTGAACCGGAGTTCGGCGTTGCACGGATAAATGTTTATCTAAGATGATTGCTTGAACGAATTCCGTTCGGTCGAATATTTTATTCGTTGTAAATTATTCTATTTATTCGAGTAATTCATTATTCGAATGATTCGGAAAAATAATATGGAAGAAAAAGTCGATAAATATTTTATATTGTGTAATATTGAAAAAATTCTTTATATTATATTATATTGAAAAAGCACTTTATATTCTATTATATTGAAAAGAATTCTTTATGCTATAATATATTGAAAAAGCACTTTATATTCTATTATATTGAAAAGAATTCTTTACACTATAATATATTGGAAAAACACTTTATATATTCTATTATATTGAAAAGAATTCTTTATGCTATAATATATTGAAAAGAATTCTTTATACTATAATATACTGAAAAAGCACTTTATATTCTATTATATTGAAAAGAATTCTTTATACCATAATATATTGAAAAAACGCTTTATATTCTATTATATTGAAAAGAAGTCTTTATGCTATAATATATTGAAAAAATACTTTATATTCTATTATACTGAAAAGAATTCTTTATACTATTATATATTGAAAAAAGCACTTTTTAGATGATAGAGTGACTAGTGGACACCGACTGAAATGTTCTATTTTTAATTTTACCAATTTTCGGAGCGACCGAAAGAAGATAAAAAGAGTATCCTCGTTTTTTAAACTCTTTTAATCCCGAGCCTGAAAGTTGATAATGAAAAAAGAAGACTGCGTTTTGTAGGTCCCGGTGGCTTGTGTGCGTTCTGAAAATTCCATCGATAATCCTCCGGCAAATATTTAACGTCCTCCTATCATTATCGCACATTTTGCACCGACGCTCCCCCGCCATCCTTCATCCAATATCTGTTGAATCGCATGAAACATTGATGCCAGGATTGCGGAGCGAACAAAGTGACTCGATATTATTACATGTACGTGTATGAACGTTACAAAAGTGTATTTACCCAGTTTTACGTTGCCCCTTATTGGAGCACATGCGTTAATGAATCGACGAACCGAATGTACATCGACGACTTCAATAAATGTAAACAGCAGAAGAATCTGCGACATTATCTATTCGGTTTCTTTCTTAACTCTTTTAGCCGACGCAATCTTTGAGAAGTGTGTAAATTGCTGTAATTATATTGTATATGATTTTTTTGGTATTTCGTTTAAATACCACACTTTTATAAAATATGTAATTTAACAA